TTTGGCTGTGATGCTTGAAGCGAGCGTCTGGCTGGTGTGCTGTTGAAAGAACGTTGTTGCTAAGACTGCACCAAAGAAAAGGAGGGGATTCAGGTTTCACAGCCAAATTCCCCCTCTCACTACCGTATCCCACCTCTCTCCACCCTGTCTCTTATACACATCTAGATGTGTATAAGAGACAGTTTTTCTAAGGGGGAGGACTCGGACGTTCGGCCCGGTATGCTAGCCATAAACCTCATTCCCCTTCTGCGTCTTACGCTCTTACTTGCTGATCCTTCCTGTTCTTAATCGTCTACATCCCTCTCCTTCCTCCTGCATAATCTCCCTTCTCATCGTCAGTAGATGCAGCAGGTGCAGTACCTGTTGCATGTGCACCATAGCAGCTGCATCTGCAGCATCTGCTGTGGCAGATGCAGCAGGTGCAGTAGGTGCAGTAGCAGCTCCATCTCGTTCGGTCAAAAACTGAGTTCGTTGTTGATGTCCTTTCTTTTTTTTTGGATCATTCCCGATCAATGTGTGGCGTCCTTGTTCAAGGGCCATGCAAATCTTCTCTGTATCCTTCCAATTGTAACGGATGTCTCCAAGGACACGTTGATGATGTCTGAGCTCTGCGTTGGCTGTTCACTTTACGAACATATTTTTCGCAGATAAGGCCAAGAGAGCACCTCATGGAACAAAAGGTGTGTGTGTGTGTGTGTGTTTGTGTGTGTGTGTGTGTGTGTGTGTGTGTGTGTGTGTGTGATCTTCTCTGCAATTGGATGCGTCTTCCCTTCGGCTGGTGGGTATAAGTCAGACGTGTGTTCTTGGATGCACTCTTCGCTTGAGATGGGAGTTGTATGCCAGAAATGTGCTCTTAACAAGGTATTATTGTTTGGTGTGCATGTGCATGTTTGCAGTGTCCACATATTCTTCACAGGCGAGGCCAACAAAAACCGATGGAAGAATGAGTTTCTTCGCATCCTGGATGCACTTGATAACTCAGACGTCATTCTGACGTACAGGGGGATAGCATCAGGGGTGATCCAGACGAGGTGGGGGGAGGGTGCGTATCCAGCGACACGGAGAAGGAAGCACCTTGGCGACATCTTCAGTAGCTCGGGCCTCATAGCAGTTGTACCAAGACCTCTTCTACGCATCCTTGAGCGGGAAAATGGGAAGCCGACGCCCGAAAAATCGGGTATTCTTGTCAGAGGTGTGAACGGAAGGATATGCACCAGTCGCGATGGGGACTTCATGATTACAGCCAATAACCCTGCCAAAGGTGTCGTCCAGCAGATCGGTGACAATTTGGAAATGCATGTCTGCGTTGATGTCCTCGTCACGACAGGTAACATCTTCCACCTTGCTCTAGAATTGGTCCCCACACTCTGATCTTGTGTGAGACAATCCGGGATGATTTTCTTTTGATGCTGTCGATTGATCGCTTGCTGGCTAAGTTTTCTGCCGGTATTGCTGCCGTTTGTGGTTTTATCAGCAGGTGTGTGCTCACTATGCTCTTGTGTAAATGTTCAGGAATGCTTTGCTTTGATGCATCCGATCCGTGTGGCGTCAAATCACGTTCGTTTACTCCCTGAGTACAAGTACGCTCTCCCGAAGGCGTGCTCTGCACTTCGGAATGCAAATGTGACTCGTTCCACCCCTCCCCCCTCCCCCCCCCTTCTCTTTCAGGGGGCTATGTGCATGGAGCACTGTGAGCATCGTGCATACATACAAGGGAACATGATCAGGGTAATGAAACACGCTTGTTTTAAGTGGTGTTGGCCTGATAAACTGGCAATGAATGGTTAAAACGGTACCAAGTATGTAGATTGGGACTCTTTTGTCCATGATATCCTCATGCCCACATTAAGGAAAACGTCACCAAATATGGCCCAACAACCTATGGACTTCTGAGTACGTGCACACTTGTTCTCAGCACGTCAGAGGATCAAATCATCCCAGTTCCTCTTGGACTTCTAATGGGATTGCAGCCGACAGAGATGGCAACCATGTTCTGTGCCTGTGCCTCTGTGTGTGTGTGTGTGTGTGTGTGTGTGTGTGTGTGTGTGTGTGTGTGTGTGTGTGCGTCTTAGACACACACACACATACACAGAGACAGAGGATTGCAGGGTTGGTGCGGGTAAAGTCGACCACTTTTCTCAGGGGTAGCGCTAACTCTGGGTGGCATGGTAAATCCTTATCCATCAGTCAAATGAATCCCGGGCAGACTGTCGGGGTTCAACCTCCTGATGAGTTGCTGAAAGTCTGACGGATCAGCCTGGGACAGTCGTGCTTTTTTTGTGGAGTTGTGTATAGCGAACATGACACACACTCACGCACACA